ATATATATATATATATATATATATATATATATATATATAATATAGTAGAACGAAGTTTGAATCCAAAAGACAAAGAGAGGTACAAATCGTTTTGAGATAAAACATAAATACATCCAACAGATAATATAATCTCAATATAAAAGACGGTTCAGATCATCTCAAAAATTTTGATCAAACGGCCAACAATGAGTACTATATTTTTCTTTCCCGCCCAACACAAGCCTCTGTCTCATGCCTCTCCCTCTCACTTCTGCCTCTCCCTCTCTCTCACGCCTCTCTCTCCCAATATATCACGCCTCTATCACATGATCCTGCCTTCCAAACTCAATATTCACCCCAAACTCATCCCCCTATCTCTCACGCCCAGTTCTCCAATGCCAAATGATTGCCACCGCCACCCACTACTCTCTCTCATGCTCAGGTCTCTCTCACATCCAGAGCTTCATCGTTGGCTTCTTCTATGAAGCAAAGCCACCGCCAAACAACAGCCACCTCCATCCACTGCTGAACACCCAGAAGTTGCCCAGGTATCTCAGTTTTTTTTTCTATTTTTTCTCATCCCTTCTACACTGCTGCTCATCTCTCACTCTTTTTGTCCGTCTCTCTGTTTCTCTCCGCTGCTTATCTCTCACACACACATTATGTTTGACAAAATGCCCCAAAACACCAGATTTTTAATGTCGAATGGTGGGTATGTTGGTTTTGGATTTGAGATAATTGCTAAATTCTGGTTTTGGCCTTGAGTGAATTCTAGGGTTGTTGATTCAATTTTCTTTGATATATTGAAACACCAGATTTTTAATGTTGAATGGTGGGTATGTTGGTTTTGGGTTTGAGATAATTTATCGATTTCTAGTTTTGGCCTTGAGTGAATTTTATGGTTGTTGATTCAATTTTCTCTAATATGATAAAACACCATATTTCACTCTCCCTCTACCTCAACACGATATTCTTTTCTCTGTGTGTGTGTGTGTTTCTACTTTTGTGTGCATTGAGTGTGTGCATGTGTTCCGTGTCAGTTGAGGGTTTGTTCTCTATATGCGTGTGTGTTTTTGTTTTGTGTGTGCATACCCATACCCAGACACCCCCAAAACCAGTTGGAAAAGTTTAAGAACAATTATAGATTTTTGAGTTTTTTTTTTTTGATGAAATTTTAGTGTTTGACCTATTTTGTCGAATTGAATTCGTATAGTACCAAAATGCATTTTGTATTGTATTGAACTAAATTTATACCACAACCAACACGTGTTTGATGAAGTTTCTCAAGGATTTGCAAACAATCACTATCATTCTTTAATTGATATTGATAAATTGGAATTCATATTTGTGTTTTGAGGGTTGAGTTTTATGTGAGATGCAATGACATTAAAAGAAATTAAGGAACGTTTTAGTGAGTCACCGTTAACCCATCCATTACGAAATGAGGATTTTGATTTTCTTGAGATTGTGGGTTATGGCTTATTAGTTGGAATTGATTTGGGGGACAAATGACAGCGGGCATTTTTGTGTTTCAGTTTGTGTGTTGTATGTTAGTGTGTAAGTTTATGTGTGTGTGTGTGTGTGTATGAATACAGAGAAAATGAAGAAGGAAAATGTGTGTGTGACAATGAAGGTGTGAGAGAAACATGATGAAGAAGAGGATGGAGGATGGAAGGCAAAAACATGGTCAGAATTTCGCAAGGATGCTGCTGGAGTTCTCTCTCTCTCTCTCTAGACATATATATATGCAGACAGTTTTGGAATCATCTAATCACTCCACCATTAAATATGCAAGTATTTTCATAGTTTTTGGAAATAATTTATTGCTTGTTTGCTTCTCTTACGCAGATTTGATTTCTTGCATTTAACAGTTGTAGTATTTTTAGTGGATTATGCCCTACTAAGCTTAGTGAGCCCAATTTTTTTTTACTAATTTTTTTTCCACTTGAATATATCATGAGCACCAATTGTATCACGATTGAATATTCTAACCAATGCCTATCTTTACATAATAATCCATATAAACTAATTGCTCATTTATATGGTACCAAAATCTGTAGACCATTCTTTTTTTTTTAGGGCAAGTATGCTCACAAAAAGTTTTTTTTTGGCTTCATCAGAGAAACTCTGCAAAAAGGTATGATGAAATTGGATATGGTTGGCAAAAGGGGCCACACGGTTTAGTTTTAAAGTTTTTCATGTGTATTTTGCATTTGTTAATCTAGATTTTAGATGTACATAATTTTTTTTAAATCATTAACTATTTTTAGACAAAGATTTAATGTGTATGTATTATGCTATCAAGTGTTCAATTTGTTTTCTTTGCTATTGATTTCATACTATTTTTGATTTATTTTAAGTAGTAGGGGTCTTTCGAATCACAACAGTTACATTTCCACAATTTGCAGACTGTTTTGGGTGAGCACTTGATGTAAAAAATTTGATTGACCCAATAGAAAATGAAAAAACTTATACAGGTACACTTTGTGATTTTTCATGAATTACTTCAAATTTTGAGCCCATTATTTCTTCATAGTTTTTGTGTGACAGTGAATATAGCTTCCATGGGAGGCAATGAATTTGACACAACTAGATGGATATGTGGATTTGATGAGAAGTCTAAAAGAAATGCTGGAACCTAAAAGCGAACTCTATGGAGTATGGTGATTATGGGTATGATCGATGCATATGAGTTCTTGCACAATAAATTCCTAACCCTTTCAAGTGGACTATTTGATAATGTTCAATAGTGCAGATACTTACAATTATTATGTTGAATTCATCAGACATTGTTAAACTTGGATTCTCCAAAAATGTTAAAGTGATGATTCAAATTTTAAAGTTATTGGAATTTGAGTTTTGATCGACAAAATTCTGTAACAAGTTATATACATGAGTACACAGTTTTGGCACACAGTTGTTCGAATGGTGAAGCCTATCATAGATTTGCTACTAAATATTTATTTTGTTGTTTTTGGGTTTTCTTGATAAAGTTTGCTAAAACTTTATTGGCCACTTTCACCACTACCACCACCAAGCTTGAAATTACAACTAATCAAGAACCAAATGACAAATTTTGAACATTTCTATGTGTTAATAAAGGTGTTTTGTGATATTTTAAAAAGTAAATCGCAATTAAATATACTTTAAATGCAAGAAGTGCTCGATTTTAG